TGGACTTGAGATCCTTGATAGTACCTACAAATGGAACACAAAAATGTAAAATTAGATCAATAATGATCGAAATTACTCTTAAAAACGGTTAAATGAAGTGACAAAAGGCCAAAACGCCATATTAGATGGGACACATGACTCCGCCCCCCACAATGACCTCTTCTAAACCTGAGGCACATACAAGTCCATTAAATATTTGTAAAATTATCTCAATATCATGTGTGCCTTTCCTTTAATGTTTATTCATGTAAATGTGAAGACAAGGCGTCAACTCCGCCCTCTAAAATGAACTTGAGATCCTTGACGGTACCTACAAATGGAACACAAAACTGTAAAATTAGATCAATACTGATCGAAATTACTCTTAAAAACGGTTAAATGAAGTCTGTCAGTACATGTATATAGTAATTAACTTATGCAACAAAATAACTTATGTGGTGAATGCATAAAACATGCATTGTTTCACAAGTATGCACTTCCAGTCAGAAATTGATTACACAATACAGATCTGATTTTTAAATTTGGTACTCACAGATAGAGAAAAAAATTCCTTTCCAGCAATATCCCGTTTATGACAATGCACAATAAAATTTGGAAGTTATGGATGCTGTTTGGACGATTGCTCTGGAATACTAGTACAGAGAAAAGCCATTTTAAGTTATTTTCAATGTTTCCGTGTCATGCCCGTTCATGTAGTACATGAACCACGCCTACCAGGAAAAACCACACCCAAATCAATTAATAAACGGGGAATGAAGAAAGAAGCACTTTTGACTTGCGTTTCACAGCATTTGAACTATCATTTCTTGTATAATGGACATCGTAAGAGTTGTCTAAAGCCCTGCCATTCATGGTGGCTTCAAATACTAGTAAGTTTTTTCATTACCTAGTTACAGAGTTATTATTACGTCCTCTAGTGCTAAAACTCCTAATTATGGACTGTTTTGAACACGGATCATCCCCATACTTCATTCAAATCCAACCATCGCTTTTTCTTGAGTTTACAGGTAATATATATATTATTTTTATTTGGAAGTATAATTAAGTTCTTTACATGTAACGTTAAAATAGTTTATTGTCTTTGCACTTGTGGATGAATCCTATGAAAAATTTGTTGTTATTGTTATGTTTAATGATGTTTCTTTCTCTTACTGTTGTAGCAGGGGCTCCTCTTCCTCTTTGGCCTCTTCCTTGGCCACCTCCCTCTCTTCCTTGGCCACCTCCCCCGCTTCCTTGGCCACCTCCCCCTCTTTCTTGGCCAGCTGCCCCTCTTTTTTGTCCATCTCCTCCTCCTTGGCCACCTCCTCTTCCTGCTCCTCTCCCGCCACCTCGTCAATGCTTCCATTTACCCCTATGATGTCTCCTTTTCTTCTAACAACAAAAAGAGATTAAGGTAAGTTATACTAATAATAAGAACACAATACACATTAACATGTTTTAAATACCATTAGATACTACTAACACATGAAGGAATAGTACTGTATGTTCATGTTGTATCATTATTCTTGAAAGTAATATGAAATTAACAAGTTAACTAAAGACAAAGTTACTCACTAAGGGATAGCATTTTACAGGCAAGAATAATTACATTGTTAATAATAATAAATGTACCTCAGACTGATGCTCAATCTCACACCCAGCATTCCTTAAAATTGCAGTGCTGTTCTTTTTGCAAGTCCAGCATAAGTTCGTCATTGCCTTGATGCTGTAAATGTGGGGAATATACTTTCTCCATATTCTTTTAAAGGAACTTTCACAGAGAGTATGTTCCCTACCAGCATCAGCATACTGTTGGTAAACCATGCGTCGGGACACACTGGACAGCAATAGCTTGGCCTTCCCATAATCCCTCACTCCAGGTATCCTCCCAGGTAGTAAAAGGCGTAGTCTTCAGCATAGTTCTCCAAAAATGCTACTACATCTTTAATGCCTTCCACAGAAACAGCATGACAAGGAATGCGACCAGTGTTCCCATGAACCCTTCATTAAAAATTTTAATTACTCTTCTTTGGATTATTCTTATTATTTTTACCTAGGTTTTATTCCAATTTGAAGGAAATGCCTCCTCAAGTTCTTGTGAGTACCATTTCTGATACTGTATACGAACAAGAAGAGCTTCTTAGATATCTATTTTTAAAAGATAAGAAATAACTTATTGTTATAGATATTTTTTGTTCAATACTTTCTTTCCCCTGTATTCATACTCAGTCCTATTCCTCTGAACTGTTTCACAAGATGTTGAAGACTTTTCTCACTCTCTTAATAATAATAACAATAAAAATAATAATAATAATAATAAATAATAATAATAATAATGATAATAATAATAATATTCCTTCTCACTCTCATAATAATAATAACAATAACAATAATAATAATGATAATAATAATAATAATAATGGAACACCAACTATGCTCAGGTATTAGGGTGGATTAGGACTCATCTAACTATCTCAACTTTGAGAGCCACAATCTTATGTCTTAGGGGCACACGTACCAAATG